CAGCAGGAGGAGCTAGTAATACCTGATCTCACTCCTGCTACATGGTATGCAGTACGAATTGCTGCACACAATGATGCAGGATCCAGTGTTCAAGAGTTTCTGTTTGCCACAAAGACAAGAACAGGTGGTGGGTATCAATATAGCACTTTTCAGTGGGGATATACAACTCTGATATTGAAATTGTAAATGTACCCTAATATTTACAATATGAGAATTTGCACATTTAACTGAAATAACAGTAAATGTCATTTACTGACTAACTACAATTCAGGTAAATCTATTGTATAATACATTTATTTTTAAATAACTTAGTTGTACATTAATATTCACCTTCTGAATTCAATTTGTTTCAGAAACCATTCTTCCAGAAGTGGTGCCAGACGTGTCAGGTTTCAGAAGTACATTTTACGCTCACTTAAATGTGATAATTCCAATCATATCTGGAATCATCTGCACCATAGCTGCATCCATCTGTGTGTGTGTATCATCATCCATAGAAGGTAAATGCTGTGTGTTCTTGTAGAAAGTGTGGCACATAGAATTGTTCAAGAACTTTATAAGGATATACACAGTTCTTTTCCACTAATTTATTCTCATGCATTGTCTGAAGCACATATAAAATGTTTGAACCTGAATGAGTGGATCAATGTAGACACTTCGGAATTCTGTCTATATTATTTATGCTTTTTTTAAGTTAAAGTTGGTGAGATTTGAATGGGTAAATGCACACAAGGTTTACTGTCATTTTTGTTGCTCATCCCACCAGAATTTTTGTGCATTACACCCTCGGTTATGAAAGAATATTGTAAAAAAATCTGGTATTTCCTAGTGTTCAGCAATGTTTTCTTTGCTATTACTGTACCTACCAATGGAGTGTACAAATGCTACATTACCGACCATTTGTGAGAAGATTGCTTTTATTGAGTTCTTGATGCATGTGACCTCAATTATCATAGCTTACACTTTTCCTGCAAGTATTAAATTGACACATTTTCTTTTCTGTAAAGAATTACACATAGGGATTTTGAAGTTTCTATGAAGTGTGAAGTACTGGATTGTTACATGATATGACTTTGGTGAAAGACCTGTGAATATTGTTATTAAATGTTATTTCTGTAAGTGATAAATTAGGACCATGCATTAGGTGTGCACACTTTGTAGTTTTTAATAAGTAGTGTATGTCTGGTGCCAACTGATTTATTTGTATCAAAATCAGTGAATTTTGTACAAATGTCTTTTTGAAATGGCTTAATTGACAAATTCCTCATTGAAATTAACTCCTGAATAATTTTCTCTAAAGATTTCCTCTTTTTTACTGAGCTAACATGGACATGTATTTATTATATGACACAGGCACTATTCTGGATATAAACAAGGTGATCCAGGATATGGGGCAAAGTCCCTGGCTGAACTAGAGAACCAGCGCAATAATGATCAGCAAGGAGGCACTCATGGTCAATCTGGACAGCTCTATTCACCATCTCCTGCCAGGAAGGGAGACTCATCACTCAGTGGGCAGAAGGGAAGCGATACCTCTGGTATGAATATAACTGGCATGAATATGCATGTAATACAAGATGCAAAATATGTGACCATACCAGGACATGTATTTATTATATGACACAGGCACTATTCTGGATATAAACAAGGTGATCCAGGATATGGGGCAAAGTCCCTGGCTGAACTAGAGAACCAGCGCAATAATGATCAGCAAGGAGGCACTCATGGTCAATCTGGACAGCTCTATTCAACATCTCCTGCCAGGAAGGGAGACTCGTCACTCAGTGGGCAGAAGGGAAGCGATACCTCTGGCATGAATATGCATGTAATACAAGATGCAAAATATGTGACCATACCAGTACATACTGGTATTTGGACAAAAAAAAATTCTGTATATGATCAGACAAGCCATATAATAAAAACCAAAAAGTATTTCATCCTGAAGCCATAAATCGTAAGAATGTGTACATATATTTTGTACACTGGATATCTTATTGAAGCATAACAACATTTTATTTCAGGTACAGAACACCATTGACACTGTAAGCTTGCATCATCACATTCTTGTTTTTACATCAGTGTCGAGATGAGTTCCATAACAAATCCCAGTTTAATGATTCCAGATATATTGCCACTGTCACATTGCGCTAATAAAAATGTACAAATTAATGTTCCATTTACTAAAAAAATAATGTATTTCCCCAGCAAAAATATAATACTCACTTGTGTCCATTTATGTCATGTGTGTGGGCATTTATGTAAGTGCCACCTAATTCTCTTCATATAAGTTTTTTTGGAAAAATTTTAATATCATATTATGCAGATAATGAATTCAGTTATTTTATACTTTTGGGAGTTATCCTTGCTCTCCTTCAATTTAAAAAAATAAGTATAATGTCATGGCAATGTTTCACTTCCATTCAGTAAACAAGATATAGCTGGCACAGGTGTTTGTCTTCCATTTATTTAAAGAAACCTAATGGGTATGTTGATAATGTCTCTGAATGTTATTATGTCTTACAGGTTTTTTATATGATGATAGTTTTAAACAAAACAGTCTGACCCAAGAGATTACAAGATGGAGTCCACATACTTTCAAAATACTGAACTAAATGTCCTCAGAATTAAAGGACTCAGAATGTGGTATGGTGTCTGTTAAAGCTATCACAGTGAATTTGGATCCCAAAATGGTAGAACAAGAAAGGGTTAACTCTGCACCCAGCTTAAATTTATAAGTTTTCTGTTCTGTGTCAGGTAATCCTTATGTATGTAACAACATTATTGCACAAAATAATATTCATTTGAGATTCATCACTTAAGCAAATCATTCTTAACTAAAACCATGGATGAAGTTCATGTGCTTCTGATGATGTGACACAATGTGTAAAATTATTATGTTGGTCTTTGTCCATTGTCTGTTTTATTTCTGTTTAAAACCACATGCTTTAGAAGTTCATTGTATTTCTGTCTTCAGGTGACAGTAGGGGAGGACAAAACCCTACTTAATCATTTAAGGCTTAAACTAGCTCAACCAGAGCACCCAGCACCAAGTAGAACCAACTTCTGATATATTGTGATTTGAAATAGATAGAATCTGACAGAATAACTATACACATTGAATCTATGAATCAGACTCCTTGAGAAGTTGATAGTCAGTCAGCTGGTGACAGGTAATTATCTACCTTTTTTAGGACCCAGAGGCTTATTACCATGTTCATTTGACTGTATACTGAGCCACATAAATTGAGCCCATACCTTCACACTCTCTTATAAAAATTATATTTTATAAACCTGGCTTGGCCATAATTGCATCTCAAATGTAGGTGCAGGAAGTTTCAAAACTTAGTTAATATTCTCTGTATATGTAATTACTAAAAACTACAATAAACTTTCCATTATCCTTGCTACAAGAAGCTTTTAATTTCTTGTAACAAACTTCCTAGTATTAGAACCCAGAAGTGAAACACTAATATGTACAAATTTAAGTGGCTCATCAACAGGTAAGGAGGTCCTGCATCATAGCCTCCCACACACAGAGGCTATATACATTGAAGCACCTTCTCTTGCTTTAATAAATGCCAATGGTGGTATACAAATATTGAAAATTAGAAGTGTAAACTAGGCTTCCAGCATGTGAATGATGTTATAAGTATAATGACATGATACTTGCTTTAATAAATGCCAATGTTGGTATAAAAACATTGAAAATTAGAAGTGTAAACTAGGCTTTCAGCATGTGAATGATGTTATAAATATAATTACATGATGAAGAGCAAGAGAATTGCAGAATCAAGAAGACTGGAACCACTCTTACAGAACTTGTAAATGGTGACAACAAAGGAAATTAAGATTAAGAATTACTTATTATAAAAAAACAATGTTTCTGTTTAACATGTCTCTCTGAGAGGTCTATAAGTTTGTGGTTTCTATTCCTTAGGAATCCTATACACTACATTATTTCTCAACAGGTTCTGAATTGGGTGATTTGGCACATTTAAGACTGCTAGATATACGTATTTTATGAAGTGGAAATCAGTAGATAAAATTGCAACTTGTTTTGTGTGAATATGATTCTGCACGGAACATAACATAGGGTCACACTCAGTCACGTTGTAATTCTGAATGTCAAAAGTATTTTTACAAATTTACTGTGCCTCATTTTGGATTTATTTTGTTGTGCTGCAAGAAACATTTCACCAGCAATAATGAACATTTGTTAATTTCATTATTACTAGACATAAAATGCATAAATTGGGTAGAACTTTGTAAAAATATCTTGCCAGATTTCATTTGTTCTGAAAGCCTTGCTTGTTCAATGTGTTATATCAGTTCTGTGATTTTCCATCAATATTATGCTATAAAAATAATTGCAAAATAAGTTTAATATTTTATACAAATTGTTAAATGAGATTATTCTGGAAACTAACCTATTCATGCTCAGTTTTCTTACATTAAATATATATTGGCATAATCACAAAATCCATATCTTATGCTGCAATAACAATATATTTCAAAACAGGCTATGGAAGTTAACATTTATATCAGAAATATGAAAGACAGTGCAGCACTGAACTAAATCCCTACCTTTTTTCTCTTTAAATTCCAGATATGTATTACATTATAAATAATACTGATTAAATAACTACAGTTTGTTATTGTGATTAGTTTTGTTATTATACATAAAACAGACATACATTAATCCTTTTAATTAACATTATGATACCTTACATAAAGAACAAATCATGATATTGACAGAAATAAATATTATTTAATTTATATTAGTGTCTTGAAAGAGGAAGTACAGTAGATACACATAAGTGGCATTGCATAACATTTTTTTGTACTGATTGTAGCTTCCTGTAATACTATGATAATGTGATGAAGAGTACATGACTTGGTCCAGGTCAGGACTACGAGATCTGTCCTTATGCAACATTCAGCCTGCCTGGTGGTGGGGGTGGTATCAACAACACTCAGACAATGGACTACTCAATGCAGTTCCAGACATTTAGTCAACAGGAATGTTACGCAGGTCAGCCACGACCCAGCACATCTGGGTATGGTGGCAGCAAGACCAACAAGGACTACTATTCACGTGTTCGATCAAAGTCCAGCAGCACATCACATGCAGCAACAGATGGCAAGATCCCAAGGACCTCTAAGAGCCCCCCAGATGGCCTTAGTCTTGGTAAGACAGGATGCCATTAGAATATATTTGTATATTTTACTTGACTGCAATTGTATTCAGGTAACTTAAAATATAATGACTGTATCATAAAACCTTTGACTGCCTGATTAATATATCAAGAAAAGGATGTCTTGTATTCTTTTACAATAAATATGTATTTTGTACTCAGAAAGAAGGGCTAACAAATTAAATTTACTTCCTACCAGACATCAAAAATACTAGTATTACTGCTCTCTGGAGTTTTTCCATCATTTAGTATTGTGTTCTGATTGAAATACTAGATGATAGACAACTTGGACATCTTTGGTTTCTGTTTTTATGTTTATGGGTAAGTCAAGATAAGAAAACAGTATTAATGTAATTATTTATCTCTAGTGAAATTCTGAATTCCACAAAATGCTGGATAACAATGTAATTTCCCATATACATATTGTGACGTAGATTGGTTCTTACGCCCTTTATTGTCAACCCTTGCTGTTTGGAGTGTGCTAACTTTTGTCCGATCCGACAAACACTTTTACATGGGGATTCACACACACTAATCGCACGCTCAACGCTTTGCTCGGTCTTGCTGCCGCCGTGCCCTCCAGCTTACTCACTGCATGGTGTTTCACAACTCGGCCGCGCCCAGGAATGTGACTTTGTTTATAATCCCCCTCCCAAGATGTTGCAAGACCCAGACCAGGCAACCTGAAAGTCAGGCAGCCCCTCCCCTCCACCGTGAGTCCGCTGCACTCACGGCGACACTTCACAATATACTATTTAATTTCTGTAGTATGTATGTAATTTAAATATTTTCCAATAGGACAAACTAGAATCATCCTTGTTCATTCATTACTTAACCACACCCAAATATATGGTGACTTTTTATATATAAAACTAACTCTATAGTACATGACTTATGCAGTTAACAAGTATTTAACTAGATACAGAATTCCTTGCTTGCTTATAAATAAATGAGTTCGAAATATATTGTTTAGAAAGAACTGCAATAAGCAGCTATGAAAGGCTTCCTGCATCTCATAGGATATGGCATTTGAAGGTTTATCAGTGATAATAATGCTCATGTACAAATAATAATAAAATCTCAATTTACAAATCACAGAAATATTTTTGTGGTACAGTCGTTCTATTTAAAGTTACCAGAATTTGCTTGTGGCTTGTGTATGAATCGAAAATTCCTTTGTTAGCTTGCCAAGCATAACATACAGATTCCACACTTTATTTAAATGAATTACACTGTCAGCTGTCACAAGATTATTTTAAATAATAAGATAGTCCTGACATATTTGGACAAACTATTTAATAACAGAATGCTAACTGGGGATTAAGTGTTGTTCCAAGCCCCATAATATTCAGTACTAACTGACTAATTTATGAAGGGATTAAGATATGTAACAAAGATGTACACAATATATAATAATGATGGATAAATCACAATGCTGATATAATGTATCTTTATGCCTTGAACATCCTGTATTTTAGTGCATTAAGTGCAACAGGGGAATTTAACTTTATTGAATTCTACCAGATTTGATGTAGCAAAGGGTTAACAAGGTGAACATAAATGTTATGTTCTGCTTCTTCAGCTTTATTAGGCTCCAACCTGTTCCAACTTCATAGCCATTTTGTGAATGACGTTCCTTTTGTTGAGATGGTTGATACCTTAACAAAGCCACTAATAACAAATTCCAAAAACCAGTTGCTCAGCCCAAACAAAAGGTTATTTATGTCTTATTATAAATTGGCAACCCTTGTTGTTTGAAGTTGCCCAGAGATATCTCATAGGTTTCTATTTTGCTTAAGAGTCTTCATTATAAAATGTTATATTGTCCATTTAATAAGTGTATTATGTATACAAGATCATGCCCTGCTGTTCACTGCACAAAAAAATCAAAGCAAACAATCATAGGTTTCAGTGTGGGTCTCTGACATCTATCCTCATCTTCATGCTCAGAAATATTACAAAATTACAGCACAGTCTTTGCAAGAATTTTGTAATTTAAATATTTATGTTTTGTGTGTGTGTGTAAGTGGATGTGTTTACTAATGTTGGAAACATGAACACTAAATGCCAGTCAGCGACCAACGGCACTCAAAGTTTCATGCACTTTGTAATCAACGTAACTTTCCTTCACATAGACATTGATCATAAAATCAACTTTTGATCTTGTATTAGCTACATTTTAGGAATATTAACACCCTCTCCTAATTCATATTTTTTCCATTCCACCGTATAACATTATTTAAGGTACTGTCCTGGTCTTTGCCTAGTAGAACTGAGGAAAATCATGAAGATTCTGTATTAGGATAGTTGGTGACCTGACCAAGATTCAGACCAGGATCTGCCACAAACAAGTCAGAAGTGTTGCCATTTGAGCCAGCTTGGTTGGTCACTGTGTTACAGTCAGATAAATATAGTAATTAACAACATGACTGTCTTACAATGTTTTCCTTTTAAAATAATGTTAATATGACATCTTCTCTTGAGCTGGACAAAGTATGCAACTGCTCTTAAAATGTTGGCGAGATTGTGCATCTGAAGCCAGGAGATTTGCTTTATCTTTGGCCACAGCTTGAAGTTCAAGGATAGCCAGCCACCTACTTCGGTGTGTCATGTGTAACCTGCACTTTTATGCACACTTTTGAACTTACCTGCATGTAATTAGGAAATATGATGTTTCTCACATGAATATATGAAGAGAGATTCACTGTTTCATTGTGTATGTGTATCATCCTATTTTATAAATATTTTATTTAAATTCAGCTACATACCACACTACTATCCTCCTCTAATCACACAAGTGTATTTTTGAATTAAAGTATCGCCACAGTGGATGATTATCCTTAACCACCATTTTCATGAGA